CACACACACACACACACACACACACACACACACACACACACACACACCATCTAGCGAGTTAATCAGAGAACCATGAGGATTGTCTCCATGCCAAGCAGCTCAGAGAGCCTAATACCTGCATCAGAGTTTTGGGTGTGATCCCTGGAAGGCCCATGTTTGGGCCAGGCTTCCTGTCCTTTGTGGTGCGTCCACGCAGCTACAGCTGTCTCACTTTCCTCCCAGAAGCAAAGGCCTTGTTCAAAGCTGCAGCGCTCAACAACACCTTGTTGCTCTGCAGGTAAAAGGGAGACAAGTTATAACCTGCTGCTCAAGAACAACAACCTGTGAATGTGTAGGGCTGCAACTAATATGTCAAAATGTCAAAATGTACTTAACATTTAAACCTTTAACGGAAATTATGAAACAATGTTCAGGAAAAGGGGAAGCACACAGGGAGTGCCTGTACGAATTTACCGCACCAGTGCATTCAGTATTTCTAACGTATTTAATATGAGTGATATCTCACCACAGTCGTTCTCGTCAGACCAGTCCCCACAGTCATCGCTGAAGTCACACACTTGGTTGTGCTCCACACACACACTGTTGTTGCACACAAACATATTCTCTGGACACAAGGGTTGGGGCTCTGAGAAGGAAACCAAAAAAACATTTAATGAATCAGCTTTAAAGAAAGAAGTTGCCAGCTGTGTGCAGGTTGAGCAGGTTGCCTACCAGGCAGGGTGCAGTTGGTGAAACCGATGTCATCAATGGCAACATGTCCAGGCCTGGTGAAGGTCCTGGAGGCTTCAAACAGGATCGTGAAGTCCTGAGGAACTCGGCCAACCGTTACCTCACCGTGATGCCACGAATCTTCATGGTTACCAGATAGCCACCACAGTGCAGTGGTCCTGGAGCCCTCAATTAGCAGCACATTCAGCGTCTTTATGTCTGTAACAATGTACAGATTAAAGACTGCATGCAAACTGTGTTGCATGTTTGTAGGCTTTTTTAGTTTCTTTACTATCACTACTATGGAGGCAGCTATATGATAAGACCACATGCGCTTTGTCACGTCAGGTTTGCAGCATTTGAGTCCAAGACCAATTTCCCTTTGGGTGCTATAAAGTGTATCGTAGAAGAGCGCCAGAACATGTGATAATAATATCTGCACAAACACACTTGAATATTTAAAACATACCCTCTCCATTCATGTTGTAGTAGAAGTGTAGTGTGCAGGTGGCGCTGGCCTGTTTCATGGTGGGACTCTGCACAGCAGCAGGACTCACTTTATCTCCTCGCTGAGGCTCTATAGCCATGTACCAACCTGGAACAACCAAAAAAGAAGATTTGCATTTTAAACATAATAAACCTCCTGCATTTTCAGTTTTAATTAAACTTAGTATGTTCGTGAGGAAGTGATACAATGTGTTTATGCAGTTTTTCTTGCTCGGGGGGACTGATGATTTATTTTTGCCAGAGAGGCACCATGACCCATGGACTTCCCTCCTCTTGTGATACTCCTTTTCAGAGGTTTAGGGAGTATAGGGACATAAATTGGTGCAAAATTGAAATTAGCATTATATTTTTAGGTGTGATGACAGTTGACCAAACAGCATAATTCAATAAAAAAATCACAGAGGTGCAGATTAAATGTTTAGCATAGTCATTAAAATCAAGGAATCCAAGCCAGAACAAAACAAGGATGTGGATGTAGAAAAACACTACAGCCAACATTGCTACCATATGTACTGTGAAAGGGGAAACAGTTTCAGCTTGTTCAGCATAGTTGCCCATTCAGTTTCTTTTACCCTTAAAAAAAATTATCATTATAATACCCAAAATATCTTTTTATAATCAGAAGGTTTTGATTAAAATGGTTAAAAGATCTTACTGTAGAAACTTTTTTGGGGGGTTATTAACCTTGAAAGATAATTGTTTATTCTATGGTTTGACTCTCTAGAGTCTGAGACAGCCAGTCTGTCCTGTCAGTGTGCTCTGAGCAGCTGTACAAGCGGTCCAGATGCAGAAAACCTGAAGACAGAAAAAGAGGGGTTGCTGTGTGGCCATACCCAGTTCAGTGCTCACTGTATTGTCCACAGAGGGTCCAGCGTTCCCGGTGGCATTCCTTCCTCTCATCCACCGACACTGGCCAGAACTGATGTCCTCCCAGCCACATGTTCCATTTTCAAATGAGCAACCCACAAATCCCAAATTTGTTTCATTTACTTAAAAAAAAGAAAGAAGAGTGTTTAGTTATTTTTTTATTTAAACATCGTCAAACATACTTCAGTCATCAGCTATAGAAATTAAGGAAATATCAGCACCTTGACAAGGGCCTGGTGTGACACTGACGTCATCGATGGCAATAAATCCTACGTTGTTAGTCTCTGCTTCGATCAGCAGCTGAGCATGAGGTCGTTGAGGGAATCAGTGAATATCATTAATAAAATATCCATTCTTTCTCTTATTATTAGTGCTATTTTTTTACCACTAAGCTTCTTCTGGATTACCTGGAAAGGTTTGATCTTCTCTACAGACTGAGAGAACCTGGTCCAGCGGCGTCCACTGCTGTTGCTGTTGAACACCAGATCGTCCTCCAACGGCCCTGAACGCATGTATACCTTCAACGTCCCAGAGTCACTGACAAAAAGCAGACAAATGTTGTGTTTTTGTTTGATATGTGAAAACAGCTTCAGTCAAGTTAGTTTAACCAAAAGGTGTTTCTTTAGTATATTTACAAAGACATTTATCAGTATTATAAAAGGGAATACTAATTTATAAACTATTCCTTGTTTCATTTGGCTAATTTGACTGTTAATATTCTACATGGATCTATTTTCACTAAACTATTTTCAGGTTGTTGATTGGTTGAAAGTATTTATTTTGTTCAAAATTGATATTAGGCCTTTTTTGATACAACTCACACAGATCTGTTAGTGAACTCTGCCACAGAATATTCTTAGTCGTGGTCAAAGGGGATGAGGCAGGTGATTCATGTCATGACATTTGTGCACACTTTCTGAGGAAGTGAATGAGGAAACTAAACAGGATGAAGTGCATCCTTTGCATTGTCACATATTATATGGTGTGAAAATGGTGGTGGTTTGTAATTTTCCTTTGCTGACCTGCCGTCCATATGGTACCATAAGGTGATACAGGAGGGGATGTCTCTCAGTTGGATCCATTCTGACAAAACCTGCGCTACGTTGCTGTGGTTCTCGTGCATTGATGAGCTCAACAAGAACCAACCTGTATTCAAAGATGTCAATAAAAATATAAAATAGCATAAGAATAGTGCAAAAAAACTTTGCAATACTTGATTATTTACTTGATTATTTCTATTGTTATTGGTCAGGCAATTAAATGTGAAAGCTAAATCCACATGTGTCTCATATAGGACGTATGTATTTTAAGTACAAACTATCAGCTGTGAATTATTCTCAGGGCTGCATATTTTGGCAGTTTGAACGAGTCAAACTCTGAGTGCAGCAGGATCATTGTTAGTTAGAGAAAGATGATCATTTCTAATGATCCGATTTTTTTGGAGAACCGACAAGGAAATTGTGTGGCAGGGAGGAGGTAATGTCAGCAACATTACATAAGTCAGGGAAGAACGAGAAGTTAATAAGTAACAGAATGTCCTGATTAAACAGCAGCTGCAGTGGCTCATGTTAATCATAAATTGCAACATTGCCAGTTGTTGATTAGTCAGCTAACTGGAAATTCAATTATTAAACCAGAGTTACCAACATATTCACTACAGTTACTCCTGAGGTTTTGTTGTGTATAGTATAAAGATTTTTTTGTTAGTCTCGAAAGGTAATTTCACGGGGAATAAGTCATATATACTGGGAATATGTTCCCCTATTCCTGAGATCTCTGTTAAGAGCTGGTATGTCTACAACAGCGTCAAGTCCATGTTTATCTTATTATATTGACAAAATATCAAAGATGTATTACCCTCTGGGGATTGGGTTGTGTGGTCTGTCAGTGGACCCTGGAAGCCTCCACTAGCCAGCACCCAGTCATGTCCATCTTCTTTGGGGACGTTGACCCAAGTACACTGTCCGGACTCAAAGTCACAGCTGCCTGGAGGACTGCAGGCCCCATCCATCACAGAAATATCATCTAATTGCACTGTAGAGTTGGTGCCTGGCACATGGACTGCCTTAAACACAACCTGGTGAGGGACATAAACTGTTTTAGGAAGCATACTAACAGGAATGACTGGAAAATGAAATACAGTTTATTGACAAAAGAAAGTTTGATTGGCAGAGAGCTTGAGAAAAGGGTTCAATCTAAAAAACGTCTTACACGGAAGTTTCCAGGGGAGGACACAGTGACCTCTGCCAACTCCCAGTTTGAGGAAGGCGCTCCAGATCGTTGCCAAAGTGCATCACCAACCTCCCCGCTCCGCAGCACATGCACGCCGAGGATGTTAGAAGACCCTGAAGGTATCCAATACCTGAACAAGTCCAGTAGAAACACAAACAGTACAATATGTAGCAGACAGCAGTGCATAAATGTGTGTGATGGCAAGACTGGACTCACCAGAAGCGCACACATATCTCTGTAGCTGAGGTGAACTCTGGTGTTAGCAGCTCAGCTACTTCAATCTGTGTAGAATTTGATGTCATTACAGTAATGTAGAAACCTACAGCCAAGAGAGAAATAAAGCCATTTCAGACGAAACATCCAGTTACAGCCATACTGATGTTTTAGATCATTTTCCTCACTATAGATTCTGCTTTTATTGTGATTTTGCATGTTTCCCCTCACCTCAACAGTCAAAAACTATTTTGACTGTGTTATATATTATGAATCAAATAGCTACAAGGGAACTGTAAACACAAGGTACAAGGAAAATGTGTCAAATGAGCAAACAGCTGCTAGCTGCTTAGCTAATGCTAAAATGCAAATGTCAGCATGCTAACATGCACAACGTGACAATACTAACATGGTGATGTTGAGCAGGACTAATGTTTTCATCTTAGTTGAGCATGTTAGCATGCTAACATTTGTAAAATGCCAGAGCTAACTCAGGTATTTGGTTAAAGAAATGAACAAACTGATGGTGGTGCTCTATGAAAAGTTAGAGGATCACCAAAGTCAGTGGGAGTAACCATCTTGCAACCCCTCAGAGTTATATTGCGACCGAACCTCCGATAATGTGGAGTCCCGATTCTGAATAACACATAAGCATAACTTCTGAGTTACTATTGATTCACAATCGATTACAACCTTTATCCAGTTATGGTGAGACCATGATTGCTCTGCTCTTTCAATCATGTATTCTCAGCATGAAGTTGTTTTCTTCTCACCATTTTCCGTTCCATAGGTGTGATCCACCTGATATTTTGTGCCTCTTTTGCGACCCCAGCGGCCCTTGTGATTGACAGCGTTGTCAAAGCCACACCAGCTGGAATCGAACCCACACGCATCTAAAATGGTGTGAAAAAGGGCAACGACTTAACAATCTCTCTACGTTTGACTTCCTGTGAACATCAAGCAAAGGTGGTCTGTGTTTACGTACACTGATTACTGCAGGCCCCCTCCTTCACTCGAATGTCATCAATGGCAATGAATCCTTGACTGTTGGTGTTTCTATGGCCAGTGAACGTCACCTGTGGGTGAACAGCATTTAATACAAAAACAACAATGTGTTTTCTTTATTAAATAAAAAGTTGGTTGTTTCTGTAAAATTGCTTCTGTGTTGATGAAACTAATGGGGATCCTAATAAAATAAATAAATTGCATGTGCAGATTTGAGCCCTACTGATCAGCCAATATTAGTTTTTTGAAACTCCAATTAAAACAATATTAATTATTGTAATGGCATAGTCATGTGAGACCTGCATATGTTTGAGATTGTTTAAAAAACAGTTTATGATGTAACTGTAAAAGGTTCTGCTTGGTATACATAATCTCACAATTAATTTAAAAACAAATTCAAGGTTTTGTTATGTTACTTTATGACATGTGTGTATATCAGATTTTTTTAAACTTTCAATTATTGTTATGAGCCTTAGAAAATCCAGCATTGGTTGGGCTTTATTGCAAACATGAATATGTGGTCGAGTTCATTTTTACCCGTATGGTATTGTTCATGTTGACGGATACTTGTGCGTTAATCCACTCTGGATTCTGGGTCCCCCGGCGAGTCCAGACTAACAGCTCAGAGGATTTCTAGAACAAAGCAAGTCATTACAGCTCAAAAGTAAAGACGCCTGTAACAGACAGATTGGAGCAGTACCAACTAGCATACATACCGTCTCAACCAGCAGGTCCAGGGTGGACACTGAAGGCCCGAGCATGTAGTACCAGAATCCAACACAGATATGTGATGGCAGATTGATGACCGGAACAGAGACGGCTGCTCTCTCCCCATCCTTAGACCCAGATCCATTCAACAGTAAGAAAAAACCTTGGTGGACAAAGAGAACACAGAGAGGGACTAAATAGAGCATGGCACTAGATCAGAGTTCTTTTCATCTTTGACAAAGAAGCGCTGCCATTCAACCTGTTAGTTAACAAATAAACACCTACTGACATCTAGCAATACAAATGTGATAATGTATAGGGCTGCGACTAATCTAAGAACCCCTCAGGTATCGGTCTGACGCCGATTTAGCTTCTGTGGGCAGTGGTCAATATTTTGGGCCTTCCGGTGTAGCGGATATCGAGGCCAAGACCTCCTTTTCTGTGCACTGGGCAATTATTTACAGTTCGATCTAGCAACTTGAGACCTGAGTATGAAGTTTAGAGACAATGTCTACAACCAGATTCGTTCACAAGTAGCAAGTTTAGAAGACAATTTTTGTAATAATAAAAAATATTATAATATACTCAGACTAGACTAAAATACTACTCAGAATACAAAAGTACTACAGACGGAAACCACAACACTTCCGATAACAAAATCTTGTCCCGTTGCCTACAGATTTTCTCAGAACAAAAAGCAATGTCTTGAAATTGTTGCAGTGCCGACAAACTCTCCAAAATATCAAGAAAAACAGAAAAGCAACAAAAAAAATCCTCACATTTGAGGTGCTGGATCAGCAAACCTTTTGAAAAAGTTAATCATTAGTGATTAATGTTCTAATGTTTCTATAGTAAAGTAACAACGTAGACTGAAACACATTGTTGACCCAAACATACAGTTCAATGGTCACACAGACGTCTGATGTTCTTTACAGCTCCTCCTAGGCTTCATATGTTTTCACGTACAAGAAGGCCTCTATTCTAAGTTTATTTCCAATGATAATCGAATACTCCAAGTGTTGGTGCTCATGTTATTGCCAATAGTCAATACCTTGATTGTTTCCAACATTATGATCATACTGAGGTCCATCCCATGGCTGGTCCACTTGAAGTCCACTACTAAGAGTCCAGTTCAAATCATCACTGACCTCCTGGACCCAACTGCAGAGACCTGTTTAAAAAAATATTATTTTAAATGTTAAAATACTATATTAGTAACAAAGGTAATGGGATATATAGACAATAGAATATTTACTTGAAGGTATACAAATATCCAGATTATCTCAAGTAAAACTCAAATATTCACGAAAGAAGAGATACAATTCACATTAACAGATATATTATTAAGTCTGAATTAGGCCACTTTAGCAAAACCATTAATTTGTCTATTCCATTACTGAGTCACTTAAACATTTTTGACCCTGACACTTTAAGATACGATTCACTGTCTCTGAAGCCACCTTGTTCAAAAGTGCAGTCCATGTTCGAGGCAGGAGCAGTGGGGGTCGTGGTGGAAGGGTTTGGAGTGGTGGTCGGGATAATGTCATCACAAAACCTGCCCCTGATGATGTGGATGTCGTCCAGCGCAAAGCTTCCATCCATTAATTTGAGACAGCTGGCTTCAAATATTATCTGTGGATGAAATTTGTTGTTCAGAAGTTTGCACAGATTTCTTTATTTTTTTTCTCGAGAAACTTTGTCAGGGTTTATCATGAAATTATAATATTCGCCTTGCCTGGTGAGGCCCTGATGAATTGTAGTCCACCCTGCCCTGGATCCACGTGGAATTCATAAATCCATTTGTAGTCCAAACAGGACGCAGTCCAGTAGTCTCGTTCACAAACACTGTCAGTGTAATGAATGAGGGCTCTGGAAAAAACAAAATTCATCATCAAAACACCAGAATGTGTGTTTATTGACAGGAATGTTTCATGTTCTTGGTAATTAATAAGCAATCAGACAAAAAGATGAGGACTAATAATATATGTAAGACAGTTAAATCTGTAATGAGGCATGCACAGCAGAGCACTAAAAGAAAAGCTCTCAGTGATAAATCCTCATGCTGTTATTTGCATCATTTTATTTGTAGACCCCTTTGCATGCGTACATGTACTATACTGTGTAAAATACATGTGTAGTAAGAACTTAAATTTCAAGCACTTTTTCACCCTTTTGCCCCCCTCACTAGTCTGAGGTTGAGAAAAGAATTGTATTTAGCATTGTCTAAAAGTATGATATGTATGATGTTTACACAGAGTTAAATATAGAAATGTACAACTCTAAACTGTTTATTTATTGAAATATTAGTATACACTGTATTGTAATTATCACTGTTTTCTCTTTTAGGGTTTTTAAAATGAATTTCTGTATTGTATTTTGAATCAGCTCCATGTATCATACTTATCGCTGTTATTATATCATTATCTTATTATATTTCTGTTGATCTTGGATTCTTGATTATTCTTTTAAATTCTAATTCCCTATTGGTGCGTCTGTATGTGCTGCTGCTAACTTGGCAAAGATAACACTGTAAAATAATTAACTGTAATAATAGTTAACTGTAATAATAATTAACTGTAATAATAATTAACTTGGATATTTGCAAGTCAAAAGATGCCAAGATGTCTAAGTTGAAAACAAAACCTGGCAGAAAAAGTGGTTTCTGGGTTAAATTTACTTACTATCATATAGCCAACCATCAGTGTGGTGCCAGATCTCCAGGCAAGCTCGGTCTACTGCCTCCATGGTCTCACTCTCCAGTCGCGCAACATCTTCTCCATTAGACTTGAAGAATGCAAAGTGGCCTGTGGAGCGAAAAATAAACACAAAATATCCAGGAGAACCATTTTCCAAAAGTGTTCTGCAAGTGCAAATAGTTTGCATAATGTCAGATTCACATTATGGTGGGGGTTTGGTATTAGGAGCATCTTACTCAGTCGCTTACCCCACTTCCCAGCTGGCCAATAAATTTAAAGTATTTAAAGCTGTTAAACACGAATATGATCCTATATATACATTGAAACAGATGTTGCTAGCTACAATCATCCCTCCTGTTTATACTAGCCAGTAAGAGATTACTCTCCTTATAAGAGATGGGCGACGGAATCTACAGTCTTGAGCAAAAATGTATTAAAAAGTTTATCTGAAGTCAATATGAGCCTGCAACAGTCTGAGGTAACAAATCAAGTTGGTACCTTCCAGAGTTACAGGATCTTAAGTGTGAAATTGCTTCTTTGTGTTAGCGTCTCTCTAATGCAGCTCAACAAGGAAACACTGTTCGTGGGAAAGACAATGCGGGAGTTTTACAGCAATAAGATTGTAACTTTGGAAGATATACTCTTCATTTATCAAACTCAGACTGCTGAAGTGTCATGTAAGGAGGACTGTACATCGTGTCCCCCCCCACCTCTTACGTTGGGCGCACATCAGGAAGTGATCTCTTAATAGCTAGTATGAACAGGAGGGATGATTACAGCAAGTACAAACTGTTTCAGTGTTCATATTGTTCCTTAGACAGACTTGAAGCATTGTGACCCATTCCTATAAATTAAAGTAATCCAAGTTTCCCTTCTCCCTCTGTCTCGAGCACAAGAGCCGTGTTTTGCCCTCTATTTTGTGGACTGCTAAATGCTGCACTCACTGTTAAAGAATGTGTGTCGACTTACCCAAAGCAGAATTTGTGGAATGGTCATTTTCTGGAATAAACTGACTGCTGTCCCCTGACATCCAGTCCCAGTCCACACCGGACTCTGCTGGAGGATTGTTCACCCAACCACAGAAGTCCATTTCAAAGTCACAAAATCCTGCAAGTAGTAACACAGATTCAAATAAAGTATACAACCAGAGGTGCAATTAGAACGCCCCCTCCAAACACATTTACACTGTTTGTAATTTCTCATCTATTTTCTTTTTCACCTTTAAAGTTTGACGTTCACAGCGATTACTGACCTGGCGGGGGACAGGCACCATTCAGGACAGTGAGGTCGTCAATGGCGATATCTCTCCTCAGTCCATCCCCAACCACCGCCTCAAAGATCACCTGTCACTCAGAATGACAATTTATACCACTACGACTTATACTGTATTTCCATTCGTCTTTTACGACGGAGGACGTCCACAACTTCTCTCAAACTACTAAGAGTCTCTGCTGAAAAAGCTGAGCTGAATGTCACAATCCACACATACTTAAATTAAACCTAAAACAATACTCATATGCCATTACGTATGTTAAAAGAGTTATTAAGCGTCAGTCCTCCTGTACATACTGGCAAGTAGAGATCTCTTTCTAAAGCGAGTTCAATGTTATTTTCCAGCGTTATTTTCTTTTTAGTACAAATTGTCCTCTTTGCGCCACAGATACAAAATGAGGAAATGTCATACTTAAAGATATTTTGTGTCTTTTCTTTTCTTGTCATTTTGGAACACGTCTGTAGGTTTTGTCCCCCATCACTTACAATATTGCTTTAAGAAGGGAGCTCTTTGCGGCCGGGATGGACAGGAGGAACAATTAAAGCGTCCAACGGTAGTTTCAATGTATTCATGGGCATGTGAGTATATTGTCTTAAGACTTCAGCAAATGTGAACTTACACTTAAATCTGATTTGATGGAGCTACAGCTACAGTGTTGTACATCACTGCATAAAATGAATTGCACTGATTGGGTAATCATTTATTTATTTATTACCATTATCTGATAACTAACTGCCTGGTACCTGATACGGGGCATTGGGACTGAACAGAGTCACTCTTCCGTGCCTCCAGTGCGTCCCCTGATCTTCACTTCTGGTCAAGAGTGGGACACTGTTGTCAAGGGTTTGAAGGGAAACACTGAGTTCCCCCACTTCACTTCCCTCCATGTAGTACCAGAACATTAGGCATTCCCCATCAGCAGGAGTGGGCTCCATCACCGCAGTCATCACTGTGCCTCTGGACCCCACAGGGTGACTCCACAACTGGGCACTCAGGTAATAACCTACACATAAGGTGGAGTTGTGAACATGTTGTTTTATATAACATGTGATCACACATAGTTATCTACGATAACTAATCTATTATTTGTTGCTTAATTTGTGCATCATCCTCAAATATTGCTAAAATTCACAACACATTAGCCAGCGGAGTCTGTATCTCAAGTGGTTGTATACCTTTCTCTGTCCCCAGAGTGTGATCTGTGGCTGGGCCTGAAGAGTTGGCTGGTCGGGACGTCCCCGTGATCCGGCTCCAGCTGAAGTCTGCCGATGGTTGGGCCAGCAGACCACAGAGGGAGCCCTGGAAGGTGCACTCTCTCTCAGCCGGACAAGAGCCCGCCTCACTGCTGGACACCATTATGTTATCAATGGCTATGCTGCCCTGCGTACCACCCACCACAGCTTCTATAATGAACTGGAGAACAACATACATTCATTTAAGCTGTTATTAGACTTCACTCAGAATAGAAAAACATTAGTTGTAAGAAACAGTGAGGAAGAAACAGAAATAAGAGGCTTGTGTTTCAGCAGGAACATTAAGTCACATGTGCTTAAATTATTGAACAAGTCTTCACAGAAAACACATGTTTAATCATTCAAAATCAGGCATCAACGAATGGCAGAGTCAGACCGAGTGTCCTGAATCGTGACCAACTTCTGATAAAGGAATGAGAATAAATAATCTTCACGGAGCTTTGATTTTTTCCAACACATTGAACTACGTTGAAGAGGTACTTTTTATTTATTTTATTTAGAAGATTGCCTTGAGTTCATTCAGCTAGGACTAATTTTAATCATGGTAAAGATTATATTTGTTTTCTATATTCCAAGTTTAATGTGTCTATATGTTTAAACTATCCAAATGACAGTAAATATTGTTGAAATTATATGGAACTGCATTGTTGATTTTATTTCATAGATGTTCAGAATTTCGCTGGGAGGAAAGTTTAATGAAACGCTTTGAATCTATGGATACCCCTGTTCTTAAAAAGTGATCTAAAAACTTTCTCTGTTATAAATCTTCAGAAGAATAAACACAAACTTGAGTAATAGGAATACCTGTATCGGTTTTTCACTTTTAAAGGTAAGATCTGCAAATCTCCATTTGTTTCCCTGGGTGCCACTTCTCATCCATACAACCGTCTCCGCTTCACCAGAACGCTTTGCAATAAACCCCAATGAACCTGACAATAATAAAAAACATCAACAAAGATTGTGCATTTGAGGGATGCATGCATATTACAGTGAAAAATGTAAAGGTGTTAGAATTAATCTGAATGGTATGGACCTTGGAAGCAGCTGTGTGCACTTCTGAATTTAATTATCCAATATGTTTGAAAGTGTGGTTATGGACAGGGAGGCACCTACCAATGCTGTTGCCAAATATGTGGTACAAGAAGCTCACACATATGACTTGACCTGCAGGTTGAGGGAAGCTGATGAGTCTGGCTGCTGATGAGATATTCAGGTTGTCTTTACTAGTTATGATCATGTAGTAGCCTGCAGAGGAAGAAAAACAAAAACAACAACAACAAAAAAGAGAGTAAAAATTATGTATTTCTTTCCAAATCATCAAGTACTCCGTGCACTTTAGTGCACTTGTATTAGAGAATTTAAAATGTGCTTACACTGTTGGACCTAATTTGGACCTTGCTCTCATGAATGTTTTCATATTCTATTTTAACATCTAAGGAGACTTAGCAACTGCTATGGCAGAAGCTAAAGGGATCCAATAAAATAAATAAACGATAAACAGAACATGCTGATATGGGTGAATAACAACATGTAAGTGCTGCTGACTTATTCATGAGGCTGGATTACCAACTGAAGGGCAAAGCAGGCTACTGGCCTGGACCTAACTAGACCTGCTGGGGCCACGAAGGGTCCAGGTCCAGAAAGTGCCACTAATGCAGTTTATAAGCTGAAATGATGTCATCACCTGCATTGTTACATAATTCTGAGCCTTGTAGAGGCCTTTAGGCCTTTATTATTTCAGTTAATATTGAGCTTACTTTGTGCATTGCACTAAAATGTGCTTAGTCAAGACGCCACGAAGTAATTGCCAAAACAAAATTCTTGTTTACAGCCAGTAGGATACTCACCCTTTGCAGTTGAGTCTTCACTGAATATCTTATTACTCCTTTCCCACAAAAGGCTGGCAGTGTAGTCGTGGTACCATGAACAGGTGTCCTTCTCAAAATCACATGAGAGTTGGTCTGATCCTGCGGGGACATCTCCTTCTCCACAGTTGTCAAAGCTGACATCATCCAACATAACGTCAAAGGCTACCATATATGGAGGTCTGAATGAAAACTGCAGCTGTAGAAAAAGCAGTGTTTTACTCTGACAATCAATATTCAAAATTATTTAGGATTTGGGAAGAAGACGTGAAAAAATGAGCCTCGACTGATCACCTAGCGTTGTCCACTCCCTGTGTATTGTATATGTGTGCACTGTTGCCTTTAAGCACACTTCAAGTACAAATCACCCAACATACTTTACATATGTGGAAGCTTCATTTTGCCTTGAACTCCCATAACCATCCCATTTCTGAGTACCACCTGTCCTGGGTTTGCTGTGTGTCTGCATGGCAACAAAAAACTATTCAGGAAAATGTACCAAGTAAACATCATGCCAAGTAAAATGATTAAACCTAAGGTGCTTTATTGATTCCCAGAAGGAAATCAGCTGTTATATAAGAACAGGAAACAGAGCAGATAAAGATACAATAAATGTAGAGGTACAATAAAGGTTAAGAAATCAGGAGAGCTACATGGTGAAGAAGTAATTCTTCTATGATTTCTAAGCAGATTTATGGATGATAGTTTGATAGTACTATGTCTGTGAACAGCCTAAACTTATACAGGATATTTCACTCACCTTGTATCCTCCCGGCTGATTTCCAATGAAAACTGTGGCATTCTCCCAACCGTCTGTCTGCATTTTAGAAAGCTTCAGCAGCTGTTTCTCAGTGCTGCCTCCGAGCATTGTTACCATAAGGGACGGTGCTGATGGTGATGATGACATATTGTAAATATGGTACCAGAAGCTGAAAAACATTGACAGTCAAATCAGAAAAAACAGGCAACAGCTAGCGCGGGACATGTGGCAAATTCAAGACAAATTCTAGTGAAATAATTTAAATGCATTGTAAATCAAGGACATATCTATGAATAAAACACATATCTTAAATGAAATGTATTGTTTTTAGTACCTCATCTGGCATCCCAGAGCTGCCAGGTTGTCAACAGAATACTCCAAATTGGCCAAAGAAAAAAAACTGTCTTGTTTGCCATCTATATGCATGACATGTCCTGTATCCAGCAGACAAATATCCAAAAATAAGATTATCATCAAAGGCTTAATCTTGTCATCTAATAAAACATTTTTAGCAGAGATTTTAAAAGTGACCGTAGAAGGTTAATGTTTACCAAACGGGCTTCCTGTGGTATGGTCCAGTCCAGGTATTGAGGTGATGTTTGCCATCTGCCGACTCCAGCGGTAGGAGTTCCCACTCATGTCTTTCCAACCACAGGAGTGATGCTCAAAGACACATGACCCTTAACAAGGAGCGGTGCCACAGAGTACAAATTGAATCAGAAACTATTCAAAGACTTTGTGAAATAACCCGAAAGCATTGTAGTTCCCAGTGTAGTGATATTTATTCTGTTTTATTGTTTTATTTTTATTCCGTTGTTTGGGTGTGAATGCTTAGATAGTCCTGATGGGCAGGTGGCACCTTGTGCACTGTTATCAGTGTATGAATGGATGAATGATGACATGTAGTGTTTAAATGGTCGGAACACTAGAAAAGCGCCATACAAGTACAGCCCATTTACAGATCCGAAGTATTGCATCCTAAATGCACATTTATTAAAGGTCTGATGTCCTTTAGTGACATTTAGTTAGAAAAAGTTCAATTAGATTTGATTTGAAAAACTTTTGCCTGTCAGCATACCACAAAACTCCTCGTCTGAGCCATCTTTACAGTCCTCCTTAAAATCACAGACGAGTCCGGCAGGGAGACATTCTCCAGATGTGCAGTTGAACTCCCCGTCAGGACAAGAAGACACGATGACCAACAATACTGTAAAGAGATTTTTGTCACAAAGAGATAACAAAAGAGAATTTGAGGGGGAAATGCACGAACATTATTGACCTGGAACAAGTTGTGATGCACAACTTCTGGTGACTTCTCCCTCATCTTTACACTCCTTATTCAACCAGCATTCACATTAAAAATGTTCACTACCTTAAATGTAATATTTAGCTATGAAGAGCCTTACCTGACAGCAGAACAAATACTTGCTTCATGTTTGAAGAAACATCACAAATGGCAAGAAAATCAAAAGAAAAAGGTAAAGATCCTTAAAGCATGAGCTCCACCCCAGCTAACCATCAGATTAACAGTTTATGACTGTATTACTGGAGAGCAACTTTTATGACAACAATTGAGCTAAGGCTGTGATTCCTTATCGGTAAACCCTTAAACTTAAAGTCCAGAGTGTCCTCAGTGAACTGCGTTACATTTCCATCGCTTGTCTTTATGATCCTCATTGCATTCGTCACGACTGTTACATAGCAGTGACATTTTCGTTTTGGTAAATATGAATAAGGGTGAACTTTGACCTAGAACAAGATGCATACATGTAAATTCAAACAAATAGCATTTACTAAAAGTAGTTGATAAATTTGGCACAAACAATATTAGCATGAAGGTGGGCAAGCTTTACTGAATCTTATCTGACTTTCCAACTGGGATATCAAAATACCAGGAACATGAGATACTTAATGTTCTAGTTTCAATGCATGAGGTCAACAAGTTTTCTGCAAAACAGAAAGAAAGAGATATTGATAATAACTTTGTTCTACAGTCAAACCACTCTAGGTAGCAGAGTACAACAACATGACTGAGTGAGCTTGCAGCACTCTGAAAGTAGCAGTGAAATGGCAAGCTGGTTATATGTGACGTCCTGAAGGGGGAGACTGCAGAGCAGTCCACTTTTTGTCAAATCTTATGTTTATTTCATTTAAGAAGGGACAATGCACATTAATTAAAATGAGCCATCACATAAATATGCCAGATTTAACAGGCCAATTTTCATCTGCAGGCCCTGGCGGGTTGATGGGATCAAAGAAAACATACAAAAGCACATCATCTTTTTTTCTTCACCATTTATGACCCTTAACATATTAGGAGATAGAGATTTGACGGAATAATGTGGGACAAAGTTACTAAGAAACAGCAGCAGTATAAAACTCCACTAGTTCTACTTACAGGCTCCATAAAAACAATCATTGCAGTCACAAAAGTTCATATTTCAGCACAGCCCCCCCCGCGCCAAAAAGGAGAATAACCAAAGAGGAAGTGAAAATACAAAATGCTATGATAGATGTAAAGGCAGAGTTGGAGAGCCAACCTCAACATCTGAATGCCTCTGCCCCCAAACAGGATATTGTGTTGCTACACTCAGGATGCACAACATTTTCTCTTCATCAGCTCTCAGCATATTTGTGACTTTTAACCACCTTTTCATGCAAGCATGCAAGGTTGAAAAGCAAAACTCACTAGCTTATTGCTTATTTTTTTACAGGGCAGTTGCTTTGCAATTTAAAAAAAAGTGGTTGCACAACGTTTGCTACGGTGTTTGAGATGGTTCAAGGATCATTTATTGTCTTCTGCGACACAGGGTAGCACAACCGATTGCAGTTGCAGCTGTAGCCTATAGTCCAATCACGCTACACAGGAAAGAGTAGAGCACAAAGAGTAGAGCATTCCTCTAGTTCATTTTTGCTGGTAAATTTGCAGGAACAGTAAAGGTGGGGTGTTACAAAAAATATCTATGGTTACAAAGTAGAATAAAGTGGTTCAAAAGTCTGAAGATTGCGTAATTGAGTTGAAAAAAATCTACATACTCAGCTCTGATTAGGAAGTTATTTTCTTCTCACGTCTCCCACTATTATTATGTAAGAGAAAATAATAGAACTTTCATAGAACAGATACAGTGGCTCACCAGTCTTAAGAATATCGAATACATAATCATGAAGTAACAGACCGATACATTGAGCCACGCTTCGTGCCGCTAATAAGATGGCGGGTTTGTTTTTCACATTAGTGATCCACATCAACATGGCATCAGTGAACAGTGAATTAGACGCAGTGCTTCCTGCTATAAGCCTGGAAATGACTCTTCCAACGTTAATTCTCTTTCTTTATTGTTTCAGAATATCTATGTCATCCACATTTTTACATTAGAATGCACTGAAAAGTCGTCTCTTTGCAGTGTCAACGTGCAGACACGAGCAGTAGATATCGGGAATGTGACACAAAGTGTATGAGTGTGGATGCTGCACTGGGCCATTGACTCATGAGTCATGTTTAGCATGAATCTCTCACACATCATTTCGTTCCAGGACAGGAAGTGGATGGAGCTTTTTTTCCATTTCGAGGATGTGACATGTGTGTGTGTGTGTGTGTGTGCGAGTATGTTTTTGTATCCCAACCCCCCTTTTTACCAGTAGCAAAATGCTGAAATGTGCCAATCTGAAACATGACACTTTCTCAATGAGAAGAGAAAAAAAAAAATGACAGTGTCAGGGGTATTAAGATTCCTTCCTTTTCATGTTCATGCTCATAAGCCCTCTGCTTGCAATGCATGGACAATGTCTCCTGCTCTGAGACTTATCGGAAGAATGCTCACCCAGAGGATAACTTTTGCAGCCTTTGTGCTCTTCATCCCAACATGTTCAACAATAAATGGTACAGTATGCACTAAAGCTTTCATATGTGTACGTATGTATTTATGTGTCTAATATCTCATGGTACTGATGCAAAGATCAGCTTTCTTCATACATTAGTTTTACTGAATATTTGTTGTATTGGAAGTGATTTAGATTCTCATTGACTTCACTACAGGACTAAAATCAAAACTATTTTATAGTATTTTGTAAATTATGATTATACGTTGTCTTGTAAAAAACACTTTTAAAATTGTACATTTGGGCTTAAAGAAGAGTGGACACCACTACAGCAACAGACTAGGTTTGAATGATGCTGAGTGCATCTCTAGTCTGTCAGTTTTGAAAAGAAAGGAGTAAGAAAATTCATGAAAAAAAGTACATTTGAAATTAGATGTCTCATACAACCATATATATATATATATATATATATATATATATATATATATATATATATGCTTTCTGACAATGATTGTAAGAGGACCATATGCACACAATACAATATTATGCAACATAATTTAAACAGATTTTTCTTTTTACATCTTTTTGATCTCTTCAGATTCTCCATTCTCAATCACTAACAAAGCCACTGGGTTTTGTTTGGTGACAAGATCCACCCGCTGTCTTGACATGCGCTGGACAACCGGTGATCGTCTTTTTGTGACCTCAACCAGAAAGTGCCTTGGAGCTCAGGGCAAAAGTGTGGGGAGTGAAGTAAGCCTCTATGATTGTGACGTCCGCAGTGTGCTTCAAAAGTGGGTATGCAAGAATGTGACAATGCTTGCTCTCAAAGACACACAGTTCTACATCGAAGTCAAACCTGACCAATCAATCGCCCTCTCCAAAACTACCGGGCCGAATAACGAGCTCACAATCACAGGGACATCCAGCGGCGCCTGTTCGAGAACATACAGAGGTACAGTATTAAAACTGAACAACACAATACACGAGCAAATATGCATGATTGTACTGTGATTTATCGAATACCTGACTCTCAGTGTCAGGTGATGTATGATCAAGTAGAATGATGCATCAAGTTCCTCCTGACTGGAGTTTGGTTGTGCACGCCTAAAGTCAATCAGTAGTGAAGAAAAGATGATGATGAAAAAATTATTTAGGTCTGCCCTAAAAACAATTGGCAAAACAATACGTCTTTGCAGAATCATTAATTTGCAACAATTTAAAAAAGTTTTAAAGTGATCAACCTCTTTTGTCCTTTTTTTAGAGCTTTATACCATTGAAGGAAACGCGTTTGGTAAGATCTGCAATTTTCCCTTCCTGTACAAAGACCGGTGGTTTGGAGACTGCACAACGTACGACTCCTCAACAAAGCGCGCTTGGTGTGCGATTAATACAAAATTTGAACATGAGCAGTGGGGATACTGCCCGACTACTTGTGAGTACTGAATTTAAGATTTGAATCCCACATGCCAGCACTACATGCATCTTCAGGAAGATTAATTCTGTTTCAGAGCACACATTAGATTATACTACAAATTGTTCATTAGTTTAGTCAACATCTCTGATGCTTATTAACACAAAGCCTGCAACATTAGAGCACCATTTTAGAATACAGTAGTGTAGTACACTGTTGTTTCAATGACTAAATCATTTTGTTTTCTATCTTGCTGTATTGATGCACAGCCACAGACCACTGGGCGAAGAACATTGTAACAGGAGCGTTTTACCAGCTCAACACACAGTCGGTTCTGACGTGGTCCCAGGCTGAAGCCAGCTGCAAACAGCAGGGTGCCGCCCTGCTCAGCATCACGGATCCTCACCAGCAGGCTTTTGTCTCGGGTAAGATGTCACCTGGTGGATGTTTGCTGGTACTGAAGCTGACCCAACATAGAGGGGTTACTTTATATAGATATTGTTAAAAATTGCCTATATTGCATGAGTTAAATGTTTTGATATAAATACAAAAAACTTGAATTATTATGTTATACTTCTCATTCTATATGAATCACTATTATGAATTGCTGTTTAAACTGATGTCTAATTCCATCCTAAGAAAGAAAACAATATGATAAAGATGCAGTCCATTTGATACGTAAGAAACAATGAAAGAAAATCTTAAAAATGTTAACAAAGTTGAAATTTGTTGTAAAATTAGATTTGACATGTTTCCGACAACATTTTGAATTTAGCCGAATTGTATTTGAATCAACTGGAATTGCATTATTCAATGGATAATAGACAAGGATTGTAGTTTAAAAACAGGAAATGATTGATGAAATGACTACTACTGTTACTTTTTGCACTCGTGGACCAAACCGGTATCAGTAACGATATTTCATGGTTCATCTTGTGAAATTTCCCTTGCGTGTTTTTGTGTGCTTTGTTTTATTTCTTTGTGCAGTGAATTCTGTCTTTCTGCTGACTTGTTTTAAAACAATGAAAAAGAGGAACAATGTGGAAAAGAGGAACAATTTCTTTACTCTGTCCTTTTCCTTTTTTGTCCCTCTCAACCACACAAACACAAATAAACACAGCGCTATTGGGATCAGGGAAACAAAAGCTTTGGATTGGGTTGATGCTGGACCCGCAACATGGCTGGCAGTGGTCTGATAGTAAGCCCTTCCGTTATCTGAGATGGACTACAGGTAAGTCTTCATTTTACATTATTGAAACATGCAAGTGTTATACGTGATGTGAAAACTCTCACGGACATGGTGTATGTGGATCTGCACTAGAAAAGGAGGAATCTCAATTTAAATCATCATCATCTTGTTTTAGGATATCCAACTCCCAATCCGGGGCACAACTGTGCATTTCTTGACTCTGCTGGGGAGCAAACCTGGCAAAGCTCATCCTGCGTCAAGAAACAGGCCTACATATGCTACAAAGACGGGGCCCCGCCATCTCCTCCCCAAAGTACAGAAACATATTCTACTCTATTGTATTCTACCCTCCTCTGGCTACTGTATTGTTTCTCTATGTGACACGTTCACCGCATGACATCAGTCAATAAATCCCATTTATCTTTTGCTCTTTTCTTCATCAGTTGAGCAGGGTTTTTGCTCACCCCCTTGGATTCCCTACAATGGCCACTGCTTTCACCTTCAACGTGTTGTTCAAACATGGTCTGGTGCTCAGAGAGAGTGCCGCAAAGAGGGCGGGGACTTAGTGAGCATCCGCAATGTGGAGGACCAAAGCTTTGTCGTCTCGCAACTTGGATACGGTACATGATGACAATAGACAGGAAGACAGTCCAACCTTCTGTGTGTTTCTGCTGTAGACTGATTTTAAAAAAAGTAAATCTTTTCTTTACATTAAATATGAGAATCCAAAGAGCTCAACAAGTCAGAATAGGAAGGGAGGACCCATGCGCACTCAGACTTTAAACTGTGAACATCAAAAATTGTGTTTTTCACGACTGCAAGTCTAAGAAATACAGTAGGATGTACTTACTTTTCCAAGCAAATCATGTTAAAAAAGGGACTTTTCTTGATTGTGCTCAAATCATCCTAACATGAATCAATCTCAAAATTGGAAATTAATTAATGACACTGACGCTTGTAAAGTATATTGAATAAACAAATACACAAGCTATACTCATTCAATATATCCCCATGAAGTAGAATTTAGACAATACTAACTGATTCAATGTCTACAATCCATGTTTACTAATGTTCGCATGGTACCAATAGCTCTATTCATTTCAATATGTAGATCTTTATTAACATTGTGACATTTTAGCCACGGGTTGACACGAGGAACATTCCTCCCTGACCATGTCTGCAGCATCCACTGATGAGCTTTGGATTGGACTGAATGACATACAGACAGAGGGGCTGTTTGACTGGAGTGACCACTCCACTGTCAGTTTCACCAGCTGGGAGTTTGGGAAACCTGTTGTCTCCACTGATGCAGATGACTGTGTTCACATCAGAGGAGAGGTAAGGAGCAACATGTGATATGTTGGTGCATATATAGTTTAATCTTCTTATATCATACATGTATATCTGCATATATCATACATAGGGCCAACTAACATCCTGGTTGTATCCGTTTCTTTTACGAAAAGCCCCTTTGGATTTGTGCAACAAATTCTGAACTGCCTTACGCTTGCAGGCATTTTAACTTGAGCAAACAATCAAATTAAGACCTTTTGTCGGATTCTTTTCTTTTCTACTATTACTCTCGTAGTTGTTGTTTTTTAACCCAAATATTTAGAAAGCAGAAAGCATTATGAATTTAAGTATATCTAGTCCACCCGTCCAGTACATTCAATCTACAAGTATGTAAATGTTTTCTTCTTGCAGAATGGGAACTGGGCCGATCGCTTGTGTAGTGAGAAACTCGGCTTCATCTGTATGAAGCAGAGTGCCACTGAACGCACCGGAGATGAAGTAGATGTGGATATAGGCTGCAAATTTGTGAGTACATGTATAATCTATAATAAAAGTATATGATCTCCAAACACATCTGGCTAATCAAAGTGCACTATTCTAACCCTGAAATTAACTTTGAAAAGTAACTGGTTCAATATCACGCACTGCAGATAAATGTCTTTTAAGAACAAAATGGATGTGTTGCATTTTAAAACTACTCAGTTCTAATCAGTGCTCGGCTTCCTACAGGGGTGGAAAAGACATGGCTCCTACTGCTACTTTGTGGGAGCAGAGACGAAGACGTTTGATGAAGCTAAAGATGACTGCAAGAGCTCAGAATCCTACTTAGCTGATGTTTCAAATGGGTAAGAACACCTCATGCTTTTTTATTAGCCATGATATAACTGTGTGTGGAAGTACTATACATTGTACGAGTGTTTCACAGGCTGAGACAATCTATTGTAAATATTTCCAGGGTGGACAATGCCTTCCTTATCAGCTTGGTGGGGTTGAGATCAGAGAAATACTTCTGGTTAGGCCTCTCGAATCAGAAGAACATTGATCAATTTGTGTGGACCAACACAGATTTAGTGAAGTTTACTCACTGGAACGCTGAAATGCCAGGTACAGAGAGAGAGATTCCATCTTTAAAACAGAGGGCACGACCAGCAGCTTACACTTCACTATTTTGTATCTTCAACAACTCAAGGTAACCAAGAGGGCTGCGTTGCCATGACAACTGGGATTTTGGCCGGACTCTGGGATCTGCTGCCCTGCACCAACAAGGAGAAATACATCTGCAAACACCTGGCAGAGGGGGCCGTTTTAACCGTTGCACCACCGACTCAAACCCCTACCAAGTGCGAGGAGGGCTGGACCCGAGTAGGAACAAGAAACGTCTGCACGAAGGTAAATTCAGAGGTCGACCTCAGCTAAACACAATCAAAACATGTTACCTGCAAATACCAACTAAACAAAACCAGTGTCCTGTCACAATCACCATAACGTACTGTATGTTAGTTCTACATATTTTGTCTTTATTTTGTAAATATAACATTATTTAACTTATTTAACTTGTGCTACGTCCAGCAGCAAACAACAAACACACATAGTTCTTGATTAGCTAGTGAGCATAGTGGAAGTGTTAGCAGCTAAAAAAAGATGGTAGAGACCAATACAGAGTTAAAACAGAGCAAATATCAGACCTCTCCAGGTAGACTGGACCCTGCCTCGTGTCAAATGAATGATAAAGTTGATCCATAACCGCTGGATGTGAACATAATCAAATGTTTCTGCTTCTCCCAAATGGCCAGACATTTTATTTATTGTATGATTAGAAATAAGTCAGTTTCTCTCATGCTATACAAATCTGGGCAAAATAAAGTATATAGTCTATTCAAGTAATCTACTCCACTGCTGTACATACCTGGTCCACTTTAATCAGACGTTCACCGTTGTGTTCAAGTTCTTCACAGGGCCTCGGGCAGATGAGAAGACCTGGTATGAGGCCAGGGATTACTGCAGGGCCATCGGAGGAGACCTGCTCAGCATCCACAGCGATGCCGAGCTACGTGTGGGACGGTATGAGCCGGTTAATTACAACTTTAACTTAAAGTTGCAGAACCAGATACCAGTGGAAAACAAAACCATTACATAGTCCAATATCCCTCTGAATGTAAGAGGATTAAGTTTCATACTCACAGTGAATACATAAAAGTAAGATGAAATAGAATAAAATATTTACTCTACTATTGAGACCTAACTTGAGTACTTATTTGATGTATTTCTCGTTTCAGTTACGTCCTGCCTCTACGGGGCAACGGCGTGCTAAAATAAGTTAGATTGATGAATCATTTAAACAATTTTGTGTACTGCAGACATGGAAGAGGCTGGATTGGACTTCATATTCCTGACACGGCCTCTGGTTATGCATGGAGCGATGGATCCCCGGTTAGTTAACTGTGCTCTACTTTTTACAACTAAACTGATCCCAAATCATTCAATCCTGTATTTTTGTGCTTATATATAAACACGTGTAACATACAATATTGTTTGTTGTTTCTTTCTGTTCAAAGGTAAACTATCAGCACTGGCAGGAAGGAGAGCCAAACAATCATAACAATGAAGAATCTTGTACTGAATTCAGAACGTATAACTGGGATGAGACCGGCTCCTGGAACGATGTGAGCTGTGAGAGTTACAACGACTGGCTGTGTCAGATCCGTGCAGGTACAGTTGAATAAAATGTGTACTGAATGCCTATTTTTTTTGTCTCGTCCGAAGAAAATATATTCAACAGTCATCCAGGAAAAACTGACTTGTATATGCATGATATTTCATGCCATTGATTGCCTTCCAACGCCCATGGTACTGCCATGCTCCCCTCATTCGTTTACATTATCCCACAGTACGATATTCGACTCATAGCAGAGGACCGAGTGGGGACAGTGGCAGATGTGTTTGTGTTCTCTCTACATGAAATTAACACTTGTTTGTGGCCTTACAGGAGTGACTCCAAAACTACCTCCAAATAATACTGCAGTGGGTAAGTTAACACACACACACACACACACACACACACACACACACACACACACACAGGGTGGCGAGAATATAAAATGACAAGATATTGGGAAACCGGCGATGTCTGGTTAGACCGGGTATAACTAGATTGAGAAATTGAGATTACTATAATAATGAGGTATCAAGACGATCACGACAGTCTTACAATCGACTGTTTCAGATGTTTTGCTAAATCAGAATTGAACAAATCTAAGTGAAATACGAACAAAGATATGTTTTAAAGAGTCATTAACAGTTTGTTACAATTGAATTCAATTAAATTAGAAATCTCAGACAACACAGAGGCAAAAACAGTGAAGACTGAGCATTCAAAAACACATTTCCATTCATCAGGTCATTTACATGCAGGATATTATTGGTCCACTTGACCAGAACAATGCATCTCAAAACCAAACAAAACAAAAAAAGCGACACTTGGCATCAGTAATATTACAACTTCATTCACTTTGATGTTGTGCAATCTTTCATTTGACAGACATTAAGCTGTAAAAGATTTACTACAACAGAAAGACACTTCAAAGTAAAACACAAATTGTCAATATGTTTCTAAAAACCTTTGCAGTCTACAACACCACTTCAGATGGTTGGCTTGTGTGGAGAGGGAATCAGTACTTGATCAACAGAAACACAATGCCCATGGAGGATGCTCGTCACTTCTGCCAGCAGAGGCTTGGTGACTTGGTCTCTCTCAACAGTAAAGATGAAAATGTCTTCTTGTGGAAACAGGTAGGTGTTTATTTTCTTTGGTTTGCTAAACAACAATTCAACTTCTATTTATATTGAAAGAAGTAGATCTAAAAGTGTGTGTGTATTCATGTGTTCACAGGTTTCAAGAAGCTATGGCTCATATTATATAGGTTTGTCAGTGGATCTTGATGGGTCATTATGGTGAGTATCAATGAATGCCATGAAATTTAATACAGTGAATCATTGGTTAGTGAAAACTCTTTGGCCTATCGATTACAGTATGCATGTCACTTTGCACTACTTTTAAGATGTCTATCCTCACACACACACACACACACACACGTACACATATATATATATATATATATATATACATATATATATATACATATATATACATACATATGTATATACATACATATATATATATATATGTATACATATATATATACACATATATATATATATATGTAT